CCTTGAGCTGTCAGAAACTATGTCAGTGTTTAAGTCTTTTAATGTAGGAAGGAGTGAGTGGGCTAAATAATTTATATTGAGGGTCTGTAGTTTTTATAAGCCAAGGTGAAGGTTGAGTCAAGAAAGGCGCTCAGAGGAGCTTGGCTAAAGTTTGTTCAAAGACAGAAGCTTTGTTAGTACAGGGATGGGCAAAAGTAGGGTTACTGTTGTTCTCATGGAAGATAATAATACAAGAATCAACTCTGTGTTTTGCATACTCACAACTGTAAACCTACTTTTGCCTGCCCTGTATCTACCTGGGAGAGGAATTAGTAGGTCATGGAGTAGGCATGTGTGGTTTGCTGTAGAAGACACTGTCAGATTATTTTCCAATGGCTGTACCTATGTATATCCCCTCCAGCAGGAAACCAGAACTCTGTGTATTTTGTGTGCTCTCATTTGCTTGTTTTTATCCTCACCTGAGAACATGTTTATTGATTTGAGAGAGAGAGGAAAAAAACTTTGATGTGAGAAATATCAAATGGTTGCCTCTCATTCGCATCCTGACCAGGAATCAAACCCGTAACCTAGGTATGTGCCCAACCAGGAATCAAACCCACAATCTTTTTTGGTGTATGGGACAATGCTCCAACCAACAGAGCCACCCACCCAGGGCTAATGAATTTAAATTTAAAAACTGAAGCAGTATAAAATGTTTTCTATTAAATGTATTAAACACAACTTTTCCTTTTGATAGAATTATGTTTCACTTTAACCTAGCTTACTATGAGCTTTTATTATGAACTAGAGGCCCAGCGCATGAAATTCATGCACGGATATGATCCCTAGGCCTGGCCTGTGATCAGGGCCATATTCCTTGGCTGCCCACAGCCAGCCCTGCCCCCTGCCGCCACCCACCCCTGGTTCCCTTTTCACCATCGGGTGATCGGTGCCAGACAGGGGGGAAGGAACTGAGAGGTCAGCTGGGAGCGAGTGTGTTTTGCCACGCCCCATTGGGGTGGGGGTCCCCTCTGGGGGGCGGGGCTGGCCTGGGCAAGGGGCCACAGGCAGTTGGCAGTTTTCAGGCCAGCCATGACCCCACTGGGGTAGGGGTCCCCACTGGGGGGTGAGGCCAGCCCCTCGCGGTGTTCTGGTCTCTGGTCATTCCTGTCGTGACGCTGGCTTTTTATATATATAGTAATGATAAATTTAATCAAATGCTTTTTCTACCTCTATTGAGATAATCATATTATTTTACTTTAATCAATAATGTTGAATTATATTGATTACATTTTTATATAGATTTGGAAATGTTAAATCATTACTGAGTTGTTGGGGTAAACCCAACTTGGTCATCGTTTATAATCCTTTATGTATCACTGTGTCAGATTTGCTAATTGTTTTTTGTAGTTTTACACGTATGCTCATGAGAGATATTGGTCTGAATTTTTTCCTTCTTGTAATATCTTGTCAAGTTCTTTAATCAAACTTAGGCTAGCTTCATAACACAAGTTGCGAAGTGTTCTGTTTTTCTCTATTCTCTCAAGGAGTTTTTCTTTTTTAACATTGGTATTATTTCTTCTTTAAACATGTGGACATAAATGAAGTCATCTAGCCTAGAATTTTTTGGAGGGTGGTTTCTAAGTACGGATTCGGTTTCTCTAATAGGTGTAATTACTCATATTGTCTTCCTTCTTATGTCAGTTTTGGTAAATAATGTTTTTCAATAAATTTGTCCATTTTATCTAAATTTTGAAATTTATTGTCATAAAGTAGTTACTGTAGGATTCTTTTATTTCAAATATTGGTCACTTGTGTTTTCTTTCTCTTTTTTCTTACCCATTCTTCTTAGGTGGTTATCAATTTTATTTGTCTTTTTAAAGAAACAAAATTTTTCCATTTTATTTCTGCTTTGTTTATATTGTCTTTCATAATCTCTTCTTGATTTTTTTCCCTTTTAGTTTCTTTAAGCTCAATTGGTAGTTCTTTTTCTAGCTTCTTGAAATAGAACTTAGAGCATTAATTCTCAAGTGATTAATTCTAATCACTGTGTTAGCTGCATCTAGTTCTTTTGTTATGCCATTTTTAATCATCAGTTTAAATTTACTTTTAGTTCTTCTTTGATCTATAGGATGCTAGAAAAGCATTGCTTCACCTGAACTTTCCCGTCTGGCGATCTCATTTTGAAAATTTCTGGTGTTATTTTCTATTACTGATTCCTAGCTTAATCTCACTGCTGTCAGAATACATACTATGTATGATTTCAGGCCTTTGAATTTTGTTGATTCTTACTTTATGGCTTGGCATAGCACCAACTTAGTAAATGTTCCATGGGCTCTAGAAAAGAAAAATGTGTACTCTCTAGTTCTTGGGGGGTGTTGTTCTACAAATGTATTAGTAGTGTTTGCTCAATATCCTTAGAGGTTGTCAACTGTATTTCTAACCAACTGGTTATAAACAGGGGCTCACCACACCCCCCTCCTTTGGTTAAATAGTTTGCTGGAATGGCACAGAACTCAGAAACACTTATACTTGCCCTGGCTGGTTTGGCTCAGTGGATAGGGCATCAACCTACAGACTGAAGGGTCCCAGGTTTGATTCTGGTCAAGAGCACATGTCTGGCTTGCAGGCTCGATCCTTAATAGGGGGCTTACAAGAGGCAGCCAATCAATGATTCTCTCTCATCATTGATGTTTCTATGTCATCTCTCCCTCTCCCTTCCTCTCTGAAATCAATAAAAATATATTTTTTTAAAAACACTTACCCTTACCAGTTTATTATAAAGTATATAGTAAAGGCTACCAATGAATAGCCCGATGAAGAATTACAGAGGGTGCAGTCAGGGAGGGTCCCTGTGGAATGGGGTGCCACGCGCTGTAAGCATGAGGATGGGTGAGGGTGAGGGTGAGGGTTAGGATTAGGCTGCTAGATTTTGTGACTATGACAGTGCACAGAGAGTCTAGGTTTTGTTTCTTCATTTGAAGAATATTAAGTAGGCAGTAAAGAATGTATGGAAAGGCAGTAAAGCACTTGCATATCAATTTATTTCTCCCAAGGCTTGTTTTGAAGCGTCTTCGGGTGAATCTGTAATAACCTTTACTAATGGCCCTGGCTGGGGGTGGGGGGACGTGAACATCTCCCAGTCCTGCAAAAGCTTTCGATATTATTTAGCCTGTAACTCCCCAGTGGCTTTTTGCCCAGCCTCATGCAGTTTCTCTCTGTGCATCTACATATTAAGCAACACACTAAAGGGCCCTCTGTGCTTATCTCTGAAGCTTTTTCTGCACAGCTCCCGCCTCTCCAGGACTCTCCCTCACACATTCCAGCTGCCCAGCCCTCTCAAACGCTCATCTCCGTCTTTTCAACCCAATGAATCACCTGTGCTTGGCTAAGGTTCTTCCTACCTGGGCTGTGATCTGGAAAAAAAGTGCCCCAGGGCAGAGGAAGCATTTGTGATCTAGAGCTTAACTCATTTGCTTCTGTTCTCACCTGTATCGCAGTTCTGCACGTCCCACTGTCCAGCACCTGGAAACACTGCTTCATATACTTTGACTTCTAGGGCTTCATGGTAGGGGATCAATCCCGGAATGAGTTGCCCGTTATAGCCAGAGTGAAACTCTGCAAATGACAAGTGAATGCCTAGAATGATGGTTCTATGAAGGAAGAGCATAAAGGGGAAGAGATGCAGAGGCACCTGTATAACTTGATGTAACTTTGCCAGAAGTTTAAGAAATGCATTCTGTTTGGGAACATTTCCTCCTCGATTTCAAAATGAAACTCAATGGGAATATTAAATTTGTTTTCGAGAGTTAGAAAACGTTGCATCCTTAGGTTACTATACGTTTTCCACTAAGTGAAGGCGAATCGGGCAGTTTTACTAATATTGCCGTATTGTTCATTTCGATCAATGAATGGTGAAGCAGCAGCTATTGCCGATGCCAATAACATTTACCGAAGTGCCTCCAGTGAACCAGGCACTGTGTTAGACTCTTCACGTTGATCATTTCTAACCTTGTAATTCAAATCTGCAAGTTAGAAAATCCCGATCCCCCAGCACGCAGGGAGGTGAAAGAATTCCTCAGGCGCACGCGCTCAGACCGAATTACCCAGGGGTGATTTATGGCTGCGGCTGGGGAACAATCTCAGCTCACCACTGCCACTGCCTCCTCCCATTGTTGCGCTGCTCCCAAGTCCTCTTCACCTGAGCTTTCCCAGCTGGCCAATGAAAGTGGAGAGCAGTTAACTCCCTCCCCAGAGAGGCCGTGTTATTATATACATGTTCTGCACTATTTTGCTTTGAATAACAGCATATGTAAATGTGCTCCTGGAGGATAAACTTATTTTTATTTTTTAAAACTTGGCCGCTCCCGCCGGGGTAGATAGTTGAACATTATGTAGAGGAAAAGGCAGTTTGGAGGGAATGTTTAGTCGGCTTGGGTTTGCCTCTCCACCTTTCTTTCTGCCCAGCCCATATTTCCATTCAGATGGAAGCTGCCACGGCAGAGTAAAAATTAGTACATTTCCTATCACGGAGTCCTAGCAGGTCCTGCTATTCAGTGTCCAGAGTGTGTCCATCCAGATATTAATCATGAACTCTGCTTCCGGTGGATGTGGAGGGGCAGATGTTCTTGCTGAGAAGAATAAACGCCTCCCATGGCACCTGGAAGACTTGATCGCACATGGTTCCCAGCCAGGTCCCAAAGAGACTCTGGTGGACACGGGCACTGGCTGCCTCTAACCATCTACCTCTGGCTCGGAGTTGGCCATACCCCACCCCCCCAACTTCGGCTGTCCCGTGGGCCCTGCGTTGCTGAGCCCTCCCTATCTTACAAGGCCTTTCCTGGCATTTGAATCATCACTTCGGTGATGTGATAATATCTGCACGTTAGGAAAATAGAAGTGGCATTTGTTTAGCCATAATTAATGAAATATTTATGTTGCATGAGACTATGTGATAAAACCTTCGGCTTAGAGTCCTTTTGCTTCTGATTACATTTGGGATTTTTTTTTTCTGTGACCAGACATTCTGACGCCAGCTCTTTTACACTGAGCAGATGTCATGTAGTAAAAATGGGTACCAGATGCTGTGAGCCGCAGAAAGGCGATTTGTTTAAGGGCTGGCTCTGACTTTCGTTGCATGCAATTACTCCGCAGAACAAACCTTACACACAAGCATTTAGGTAACTCAGCTAACTTCGGGCAAGTATTTTAATAATAGATTTCATCTCTGAACGCATTCAGGCAACCCACGGTATAAATGGTGCTTAAGGAATTAATTGATTTCTGCATAATACCTTTATTTTCAACGCGAAGAAAGAGCTGCAAAGCTCTTGGCAGGGACCCAGAAGTGTAATTAACGTGGAGGGCCAACTTTTCAGTTGCCCTTAGGTACTGCCTCCGCCTGCTCATGGCAGGTGCAGTGAGGGGAGGGCAGGGAGGGAGGGAAGCGGGGCAGAGGGGAGGGGGGAGAGGCAGCTTTGGGTCACGAAGTAAGAAGAGAAGCTGGGAGTTCAGCGAGTTCTTGTGTTCTCCTTTCAGGTCCCAAGCACGTCCCCATCAGGGCGCAGGTGACAGGGGCTGCCTCTTCTACCACCTCCTCCTCGGCAGATGAAGAATTTGATCCCCAGTTTTCCTTGCGGTCAAAGGTAACCACACTTGGCAAACCAAAGGGGGCCTTGGCTGGGGGGGCTGTTTACCCTGCAGACGTCAGGCCCAATGTGGGCTCCAGCTGCAGCGGGTTCATTAGAAGGATCACATTTCCTTGCAGCTGACAGCACACGGCTCTTTCTACCTGGGGTACCCCAAGAATCATCTCTATTTTCTGTTGTTAACTTTTATAGGCTTGCCTTTCTCAGAGATGTAAAACTGGGGAGGGAAAGAAAACAGACGTATTTCCTTGAAACCATTTGGTGACTACAGCTCTTAAAAGTGGGTTTAATTTGTGGTCCCAGAAACTATTGGAAAAATTACAGCAAGAGGATGCGTATTTCCCTGGGGGGAGCACAGCTTCATTTAAGCAGCACCCGAGGCAGACTGCGTAGGAAATGTTATGTTTATTCTAATTAGACATGTGGAAAGAAAGGAACCACGCGGTTGCAGGTAAGTATGGATGCTCTGAGGGCCCCCGCTGTGGAAGGGACCAGTCGCTGGCCGGCTGGGGAGATGGCAGTCCTCCTTGCTTAATGAACGTTAATATTCCTAGAGAACACTTTTAAACAACTCCCATCCCCACAGATTTAAAAAGTACAAACACTGTTCTATCTCCCCAAATGTCCCCGTATGTCACCCCACAGACACACGCACCCCATGACCACGGCTCGCTGTTGTTTGCCATCCACGGGGCCAGAGCAGTTTCACAGGGTTGGGGTGCTGAACGGGTGGACCTAAAATGCTTCCCAGGCAGACAGAGGCGCAGTGCAATGCTCTGTTCATGTTTACTTTTGGGAGAGAGAGGATCTGAGGAGAAAGGGAGAGAACCAGATTTATTTATTTAGACTCAACTTTTCCATATCTGGCACTAGGCACTTTGGCACCATCTCAAGTCACTCAGGGGATCCAGCTCCACAAGGCCTCGGCTGGAGCAAGTCAGGAGGGGGCTGGGACATGGCATAGTGTGAGAGAGAGAGAGAGAGAGAGAGAGAGAGAGAGAGAGAGAGAGAGAGAGAAGAGAGAATATATGAGAGAATATGTATGGACTCTTAATTTTGTAACTTGGGGCATCTCTGATTAGTTTGTTACTCAACACAAATGAATTCTATGTGTGTGTTCATTTCTGGGGTTTCCTTTTCCTCTTTTTGAGTGATCCAGAGTGTACTTCTGTATTCAAATGAGGCAGAGGCCCCAGCGTCAGCCATCCTGACACGCTTACGTAGGAGAAAAGAATGGAGTGGGCCCAACACATCAAAATAGCAAGCCTTGCAGGTAGCTCCTGGTCCTCCTGCTGCCCAGAACAGCGCTAGTCCTCACCTGCCTGCTTCACCTGCTTCTGATGTGGCTGCTCTTACAGGAAGGAAAGCTGGCCAAGGACTCCCCACGGGCTCACAGTGAAGGAACAAGAGAAGTCCTCTCCCTCTGTCCCCCCCCCCCCAATATATTTTTATTGATTTCAGAGTAGAAGGGAGAGGGAGAGAGAGATAGAAACATCAATGATGAGAATTATTGATCGGCTGCCTCTTGCACACCTTCTACTGGGGATTGAGCCCACAGCCCAGGCATGTACCCTGACCAGGAATTGAACTGTGACCTCCTGGTGCATAGGTCGACACTCAGTCATTGAGCCACACTGGCCAGGCACCCCCTCTGGTGTTTTATGTCTTCTGTCCCATACAGGTGTGTCCCCGGATATGTGGCACAGAGTCCATCAGCTCAAATGAAGCTTTGCATAGGAAACTGGAGACAGGATATGCACACTCCACCTCTTCCCTTTGCTCTGGAACCAATGCCTGGATCCCAGAGACTGGGACCGGCAGCTGTCCTAGTCCCGCCAGAGTTCTCCTTTCTCTGTCCTTTATCTTCTTCTTCTTTAGCTCTTAGTCTCTTCCTTTTCCTCTCTGCATCCTCATCACCATCACCGAGGCTGTAAGAACTGTGTCTGGCTTATCGTGAGACTCCCTGGCTGTTAACGAATCATCCTCATTTCTATGTCAATATTTTTTCATAAATAGCAGTAAAGGACCTCCTTTCCTCTTCTAGGTTATACTTTGCAGATTCTTGGTAAAGCCCTGGGGTTTGGCAGCTCTGCTGCTGGGAAGGGCTAAGACGGTGTGATGCTGCCGAAGCTTCTTTCCTTGAAATTATATGAAATGGTCTTAATTCAGAAGAAGACTGCCATTTCTATAAAGCAGGAGTCCTTGATGTGCCTACACAGTATTTGGCACGGGAAAGGCAGAACAGACTATGTGAAAATATGGATGCTGGACTCAGGTGACCCGGGCTTGCCTCCTGGCTCTACCAATTACTAATTGTGTGTCATCTTGGGCAAGTTATTTAACGTCTCTGAGTTTTGATTTTTTTAATCTATAGAATAAGTCTCATTTGAGGGATAATTAAGATGATACATGTGAAGTAATTAGTACAGTGTCTTGCACATAACACTCAATCAATGGTGGGATTTGTTATGTAGGTTAGTAGGTTGTAAGCTCAAGAGATGTTTGTTGAGTAAATGCACCAACTCTGCATAGAATGAGTGGGAAAGTCTCTGGATAACAATTACCAGTGATCTCCTCCCCAGCCTTTCCAGTAAGGTCCTGGCTGCCTAAAAGAGGGGTTCCCCCACCCCAATGTCCCAGAACCTCTGTTCAGAGAGATTGACAGTCAATCAGGAAATTACCCCCTAGTAATAGAGATTATATGATAAGGAATAAGTTTGAGTTCTCAGAGCCAGTTTCCTTCCAACATGCATATACACATATAATAGCTGAATAATCATATTTAGTAAAACATTATAATCATGCTAATGTATAATATAATAATATGCTAATAATAAAACAAATCATAGTATTACTGAATTTCTATACTATATCTTTTCAAGTATTCTGCAAAGGGCTTGACCTGCCTTATCTCATTTATTCCTTATTACACCCCTACAAGGTAGGTATTAAATCGTTCTTATCACTGAAGAGGATGCTGACATGCAGAGTGTATGACATGCTACACTCACACAGCTCAGCCAGGAACTGATGCCAGCTCTGCAGGCTCCCCAGCCCAAGGCCCCCCCATCATCCTCTGCTGTTTCTCCAACCAGAATGTCTCCTGAACTTTCCATGTGTGGAGCTGGCCACACCACTACTTCCCCTTCCTCTGCTGTCTGAAACCTGGAAATGGCACCATCACGAGCCAGACATCTAATTAAAATGCATCAGTTTTGAATGTTCTGTATTTTTCAAGCCCAGGCACACAAAGAACCCAGTGACATTCATGATGCGTTTGTGTAGCTAAATGAAGTAGGGAAGAGAAGCAATCTTATGCCTCTCTCCAGCCAAGAAAACTTTTCATTTAGATATGCTCCTCTATTCCCGGGTTTAATTGGGCAATGTAGACCCAACCTAAGGACTATTTAAAGTTGTTAACTGGTTTTCAGGTAGTATACTTTGTGTGTGAGTGAGTGTGTGAGTGTGTGTGTGTGTGTGTGTGTGTGTCCCAGACTCATCATCCCTGGGCCTTATGGTAGTGCCTACAGAGAGTGTAATTCTTGTATGATTCCTTCCTTCAACTGAACCAAGTCAGTGCTCTATAAAGCCACTCCCAAATACACACACACACACACACACACACACACACACACACACGTTTCCCAACCCAGCACCTACTAGCCACATGTGGCTATTTATATTTACATCTAAATCATTAAAATGAAATAAAATTCAAAATTCAATTTCTTAATCCCATAGCCTCATTTCAGGCATCCAAAAGCCACATGTGGCTGGTGGCTTCCAGATTTAGGCAGCACAGATACAGAGCATTCCCACCAGTGCAGAGGTTCTTGGACATCACTGTTCTAGAAGCTAATCGGTGGTTTGGTTGCAGGGGGCAGAAGCCTATGACAGTGTTTTGTCAGTTTCAACCCATTTTCTCAGACATATATTTTTTCTTCTCTGTTGGTTTTTATAGGAGAGGAAGACACTTAGAAGAAGAAGGAAGTTGGAGAAAGCAACAAAACAACTGGTTAAGCAAGAAGAATTAAAAAGACTTCATAAAGCTCAGGTCAGGAAAACTTGATATGAGTGAGTGGGCCTGGGACCCTGGGAACCGGAAAGCCCTCAGAGGTCGGGATTGCAGTGGGGAGGTGGGCTGGAGAAAGGTCAGTTCCTCTTCTCAGAGCGACCAGGTTCCTGGCCCTTCTAAAGGCGCTGGCTCAAACCCTGGTGGGACTCTGGGGCCTGGAGAGCCCTGGTGTTAACCTGGCCCACCCCCAGCAGCCTTTCCATCTGCAGACACATTTCCAGCAAAGGGAGCCTGAAATGACAGCCAACACATGGCCGGGGCCTTGACTGCCACATAGCAGTCTGTGCGGACACACCTTCCCTCAATTTGCTGCCAGTGTCTCTGCTGAACTGACAGCTATTAGGAGCTGTCTCTGTTGCAGAATCAGTTGAACAACAGAAGCACCCAGCATTCTGATATAGGCTTCCCGGCCCACTGCAAACATTTCTTCCCAAATCGCCCTGCCCATCTCTGTCACAGAGCAGCAAAATGAAGCAGACAGGCAAGGCATCCTCCCTCTCCCTGAGGCCCTCAAAGCTAGCCTTCAAGAACAGTTAGGTTTTAGGACAAAAGGACTTCGAATGGTACCCTTACATTCCTCTCTCCAATTATTCCCTTTATCTGGCCATGTAGTCCTGGAAGTTGTGTCTTACAAGAAGGAGATCATTTAGTCCAACCTCTTTTACCCTTGACTTGAGAGCTGCCCCTGTCACCCGGTGGACAGGGAAAATTCCCATCAGCTTCTTCTGTCCACTCTCAGCTTCTAAAACAGGTTTCTTTGAAACATACCAACTTTCCCTTCTGAGAACAAGATACATCTTTATGATATGGACTGGCAAGCTCAGCAGTTTCCCCTTCTTATATTTTCACTCCAGCCAATAGGTGGCAATAGGAGAAGAATTACAATGGCCCTTAGAGTCTTAATTTGCTTTCCTTTTTAATCTTTGAGATTTTCATTCTTAGTGTCCAAAGAATGACCACTATATTAGCCAGAGTGGGTGGCTTAAACAACAGAAATTCATCTCACACAGTTCTCAAGGCTGGAAGTCCAAGCTCAAGGTGCCTTCAGGGTGGCTTTCTGGTGAGGACTCTCTTCCTGGCTTGTAGACAGCTGCCTTGCTGTAGCCTCACATGGCCTTTATTTTCTGTGCACATGTAGAGAAAGAGATCAATCTCTGGTATCTCTTCTTCAGATAAGGATGCCAGATCCATCGGATTAGGGCCCCACCTTCTTGACCTCATTTAATCTCATTTATCTCCTTTAGGCCCTGTCTCCAAATATAGTCACTTTGGGAGTTAGAACTTCAACGTATGAATGGGGGTGAGGGGGCCTCCACTTACTCCATAATAAGCACATAGCCATAATCACAAAGTAATCAGTAATAAAGTTATTTAAATGTTTTCTTTCCTTTTGCAATTCTACACCATGCCAGCAAGAGACCGATTTATAAAGATATAATTATCTTTAAAAGAGAGACAGAGAGGAAGGGGGCATGAAATTACAAGTTGTTTAAGATATAATTCCCATCTATTTCAGATTTTATGTTTGGGGCTTAAACACTCTTCGTTGGCACAAGAGGAGCCAGGTGGCTGCTCAGGCCTCTTCAGGGGATTGGAGGTGCTTTGGAAATTGTACCCCTAAATCTAGGGGAGACTTAGAAAGACTCAGAGTTAAGGAGGAAAGGGGGTGAGACAATGTTAGAGTGAGATACAGGAGAAAGAACACACACATACTACCTGCCCCAACAGCTGCTGGGTCCTTAAACATACCTGGTCTGCCAGGTGCCATATCTGTTCTACCAGGAGCTGTGCCTTTGGCAGCATGGTATCTGAAAACGAAAGGGATGAGCAAAATGGACATAGGACAGGCTCTCCCCTCATTTTCCTTCCTAATAATACACAGGAGAGAAAGACCTAGTAGGGAAAGTAAACATGAAAATGCAAACCCACTCATGACCCCAAATCTTTCAAGGTGCCAATGCTGAGTCTAAGCCAATGTGGGCAAACTACGGCCCGTGGGCCGGATCCGGCCCATTTGAAATGAATAAAACTAAAAAATAAAAAAGACTGTACCCTTTTATGTAATGATGTTTACTTTGAATTTATATTAGTTCACACAAACACTCCATCCATGCTTTTGTTCCGGCCCTCTGGTCCAGTTTAAGAACCCATTGTGGCCCTCGAGTCAAAAAGTTTGCCCACCCCTGATCTAAGCCAATGTTGTCCCTTAACAGTGGTCAGCAAACTGCGGCTCGCGAGCCACATGCGGCTCTTTGGCCCCTTGAGTGTGGCTCTTCCACAAAATACCACGTGCGGGCGCGCATGTACAGTGCGATTAAAACTTCGTGGCCCATGCACAGAAGTTGGTATTTTGTGGAAGAGCCACACTCGAGGGGCCAAAGAGCCGCATGTGGTTCGCTAGCCGAAGTTTGCCAACCACTGCCTTAGCAGGATAAACATCTGGTGTCTCAATAACCTGCTGGTAACAAAGCTACCATACACTTCCACAGTAAAAGGCCCCGGGCAAAGGCCCGGCCCCTCGGGGCAGTGAAGGAGTAGGTACAGTCTGTAGCTGAGGACTGGAGCCAGGTGGACGGAGAAAGGAACTCCCATACCCAGGAGTTGGCCCAGGTCTCCTGCTCCAGATCAATTTCTTGGAGGGACCTGCCGGTTCTTCTCAGGAAAGTGGACTGTGAGCGTGCTCTGTGTTTGCCCCCAGAGCCCATGTCCTACTCAGAGTCGTGGTTCTTCGTGACCATAGTCAGAGGCTGAGGCTCCAAGGAGTTCAGGAGCCGGAGGACCGCCCACCTGGCCCAGCAGCCTCTGCCTGAGCGCTCGTCTGTGTGATTAGCTGGTCAAAGGGGACTATTTTAGCATCTACTTGGGGGCAAAGTGAGCTGACACACAGACTCCTCGCTTTATATCTTCATGCTACAGAAGGGAAATGTCAAGTTCTAGTTGTTTGGGAATTCGGAGGTCCTGACCCAGTTAACCAAGGAGGTGACATCGCATGGGGAAGGGCTTCTTCCTCTTGGAAAGGCAGTGGCAGGATTGGCCCCTCTTGTGACTGTGCGAGGGTCCCCTGTGACGTAAACCCCTGGCATTGCAGGCCATCCAGAGGCAGCTGGAGGAGGTGGAGGAGCGGCAGAGGGCCTCCGAGATCCAGGGCGTGAGGCTGGAGAAGGCACTGAGAGGAGAAGCAGGTAGGCATCCCATCAGATCCACAGCAGCAGCCCCCTCGTGGCTGTGGTCTGAGAACAGTGCTGGCCTCACCGTCCGGGCAAAACAGGGAGACTTGTCATCCTCTGGATCTGCCAATATCGGCAAAACATGAAATCTACAGCTGCTTCACACTTTCATTGTCAACCTGACCATTGGAAATTCCTAGGGGCACTGGTAGGCCTGTGGGCCTTGTCCCTGGGTTTCTGCTCTGCCCAGGTATCTGCTACTGTGAATGTTCTTTGCAATTCAGGGGTTAGCATAGATTCAGGAGAACTGTTTGGGCATTCAAGCAATGTTGGTAGTGATTCAAAGCCTGGACTTTAGTAAAAATCCTGGTTTCTCCCTTTCTTTACTCACTGTATGACCTTAGACCAGCCACATTTTAAATCTTTACGATTTAAATCTCTCCTCTAAAATGGAAATAATAGTGGTTTCCAACCTTATAGAGCTGATGTAAGCGTTAAAGAAGAAATTTTACATATATTCATGTATATGGATATGTATAAATATCTCTCTGTATATATACATTTATATATGTATAGACACATACATTTACATTTATACACATATATATGTAAATGTGTATGTATGTATGTATGTATGTATGTATATATAAAAATTAGCCCACTGCCTGGCACAGGTAAAGCACTAAATGGTAACTATTCTACCAATAGCTTCACTCTCTCAGATCCGAACAGAATTCACCTGGTGAAGCCCTATTATTGCTGGACATGAAGACAGTGGGTCTATAATGATGACTATGACACAGTTTCTGCCTTTGAGAGCTTTACAGTCCACTGAAGGACACAGACCTATGGAGAAATAAACCACAGTACAGGAGGACCAGTGCTGTGGTAGGGACAAGCATCAGGGTGCATGGGCACAGGAGCAAGAGGTTCCTAACTGATCCTGGGAGAGGGACAGTCAGGCTAGGCTTCCCGGAAGGGGTGGCCTGTCAAGATGAGAACCAGAGGAGGAAGGAGTTAACCAGTGAGGCGAGGAGACTGTTCTGGCAGAGGGAGCAGCACCTGCAAAGGCCAGATGTGCAAAGACGTGAAATGCCTTAACGAAAGAGGGGCCGGGAAGGGTTCTGGGGTGAGGGATGACTTAAAGAAATCCACTTGTTTTTCAAAACCACCCAGCATCTGTGTGGGTAGTGATTTGAGGGGGCCCTTAGGGTTTGTGGGAAGTATTGTCTCTCTAGCTTTGTGACATGATGTCTTTAGCCTTTTATATTTTGGATATAAAGTGTGAAAAACCAAATGCTGGAAACACATCTCTCTCTGTGTAACCATGAAAATGTGTTGCTGGTTAAACAACAGAGTGAAAGGTTAGGGTTTCAATTCTCTTAAAACTTCAGTTATTTGAGAGTGATGATACTAGCAAGGGCAGGCCCAGATTTTGTGAGGCCTGAAGCTCATACACAGTCAGACCCGCAAAATTGTGAGGGCTGCTCCCCCATCCAAGCGAGGGGCCCTGGGTTCCAGCTTTAGTATTAGCTGTATGGCTCACGTGTCTTTGGTTAACAGGGAAACGCTGGAGTCAGAGTTTAACCCCTCTGTGCCTCAGTTTCCTTGCTTGTAAAGTAAGAGTGATACTTTTATCTGTTTCTTAGATTTGTGGTGAGGATCGGCTAAAACAATGTGGAAGCCCTAGCATAGGGCCTGACTATGGGATGGATGGCATAATTGATTAATAAATATTTGTTCTTATTCTTACTAAAACACCCTATGCATGTCCTTGTAAAGAAAACCCGAATCCACTCATCAGAAGTAGGTTTCATTACCCAAATGATACCCATTTCCTGCTGCTTGGAGTGAGAGTCACTGCCTGTCTGGTGCTTTCCTTTAGGAATCCACTGATTTCAGTGAGAGCCTTAGAAATGAACGGGATAAACCAGCAAAGCTAGGGCATGCTTCCGTTTGCCGGGGAGGCACTGTGGCGTGGGGGGGCAGGGAGAATTATAGGCATCAGAGAGCACTGGGTTCAAATTCTGTTCCATTGCATTTAGGCTGTGTAGTCCTAGGAAAATCACTTAACCCCTCTGGTCCCACATTGCTTATCTGAAAAATGGAGCTAATAGTCTCCACATTACCAGGTCGTTTTGAGAATTAAGGGCCGTGGTGGGCAAAGTGTCTCCCAGAGTGTGGGCAATACATGCTACTTGATATTACTTTACAAAATATTGGTATCCACATACATACACTTTTAAAGAACTCACTCTCTATTCGTCACTGCTTGAGATGTATATTCTAGAAACCAATATTTTCACTTCTGAACATCTCCCCATTTCGAGTTATCAGCTAAAGAAACCCTGATGCTTGTGGTGTTGTCCAAGGTATGCTAACCTGGCCAGAAGATGATTCCATTCCTTCTCTTTATATCTTTGGTGATTTAATCCCCCTGTTAAGTTTATGAGCCTTTTCCTCCTTGATTGTCTTTGTATGGGTGACAGATGCAAACCAACCAGGAGCTAAAGACTAAAAGAGTCAAGGCAGGGAGCGCAGCCCCACACAGGAAGCCATATGGGAGATTTGCAGACCAGGCATCAAAATTAATACACCCTTAACTTGTAATAACATTTGTGCAATAATAATGTTTCTTTACAGTTTAATATTCTATTCAGCCCCTTTAAGAGATTGCCCTGGTGCTTAATGAATGGCCGATGCTTATTAGGTTAAGTTGTATTTGAGCTGGCCTGTGTTGGTCTGGTTCAAGTAATGTAATGGGAATTATTTAATAGGTATTATTAGGATAATTAGAAAATGATCACAGTTAGGCAATAATATTGAGCTATAAAGGTTGTGAATAACCAAATTTAGAGACAGGCCTGAAAACATGAGTAGTCTGCGACAGTTACGCAAGTCTCCTCTAATGATTATGTGCTCCCGCCTGAAAGGGTCTTTTGTTCCTAGGAGTTATTCATTAGGCAGGCATTGAATTAGAGGAACATGCGGGGGTGCAGGACCGAGGGCAATGGTGGCTGAAGAGCAAAATGAGGCTTTGATGAGCTCCTAATTGTCGTGACAACAATTCCTGCTTTCTCTTTTTCCCAACAGTCAGAAATACGCTTCCCCACCCCCGAAAAGGGGTTTTCCCCTCTTTGTCAAGGAGGGGAAAACAACGAGAAACAAAAATCTAAGAATCCACCCAGAACACAAGTCATTATGTTCTGTAAGAATGTGTGTGCGTGTGTGTGTGCGTGTGTGTGTGTGCGTGTGTGTATGTGTGTGTGTGTGTGTGTGCATGTGTTATAGATGGGTGTCCTTGACAAAGGGGATGGATTCCCCTGGTGGTCCTGGCTGCCCAGAGTAAAGGACCAGGACACTCGTGTCCTGACTGCCCTGGGCCCCACCTTCTGTAAGGAGGCCAACCTCAGCTTTGCCAGCCACTCAGGTTCTTCTTAATCAAGGCCCTGCTACCTACGGGCTTGTTGGTTGTCAGCACAGGGGTCAGTGTTATGTGCTGGGGTCATGGAATACCCCAATTTAGCAAGAGACCACCATTCACATTTAGATGGTCTGGATGACAGAATTGGTTCTTTCTTTCGGTGCCTAGGGACAGGTGAAATCTGGTGAAAACCGCCAGTGACTTGGAAGAAGAAAGGATGTATCCCCAAGAGAGGTGGATGGGAATTAGTCCTCCCTTTTAAGCTTACCAGCTTCTGGGAAGGCTTACCAGCTGGTTGTCTGCATTAAGCTTCTTACCTTTTTTTTTTTTTTTTTTTTTTTTTTTTTTGGTCAGATGGCTTTTCCATCATATAGGGAGAGGGGTTTGCAAAGGAACATCAGGATTGCCAGGCTGCCAGCAGGTGGCAGTAGGCACACACATTATGATGAGAAATTGGAATGAAAACAGCCAGGAAGAGGGAAGTAGTTTGGCGTATACTCTGTGGTTTTTATCTTGACTGTGGCTGAGGAACAGAAAGAATAATAATTTCTTGGATAATGTAAGGATGAGGTGTCCTGAAAAGAACAGAAATACTAGAGTCAGTTGCTCCTGTGTTTGAATCCTGATGCCATTCATAGAGAGTGGCAAGGAATAATAAGACTCCAAAGTAGATGGCTAAAGAAGAAAGGAATTTGGGTTGGTTTGCCACAACTCTATGATTCAATTAAAGTAGGACACTCCTGAGTTTGGATCCCAAAGTGATCATCATATGACAATTACCTCTTTGCAAAACTTTCTTATCTGTAAAATGGACTAATGATACCAACCTTGTAGGGTTGGTATGAAGAAAAGACTAAATGAAATAATGTTAGTAAAGCACCTAAAAGAACTGCCTGGTAGATAATAGGTATTCAAAAAAGTTAAGTCCTACTTTTTCTTTTCTTTCTTTCCTTTCTCTTTTTTCCCCTTCATACCTTCACCTCTTTCATCTAACCTCTCTCCCTCTGACCGCTCTCAGTCTATGCTCTGTACCTGCAAGTCTGTTTTCTATTTTGTTTGTTAGTTTATTTTGTTCATTAGGGTCCACATATGAGTGAAATCATATGGTACTTGTCTTTCTCTGACTGGCGTATTTCACTTAGCACAATACTCTCCAGGTCCATCCATGCTGTCACAAAAGGTAAGGTTCCTTCTTTTTCATGGCTGAGTAATACTCCCTTGGGTAAATGTACCACAGCTTTTTTATCCACTCGTCTACTGATGGGCACATGGGCTGCTTCCAAATAGCACTGCAATGAACATACCTCCTCTTTCCTTTCATATTCATATCATTATAAAACATAGCTGGATGGTCAACAATTTCTCATATTGTATTTAGTTATTTGTTCAATTGTTCCATTCCTTTTAAAACTATACTTCCTAGAAGACATTTAAACTAGTTTCTATAAAAATATATAATACATGAATTTCCCATGTCTGGTCCATATTAGGATCTCAATGTAGACCCATGCTATTACCCCAAAACACCAATTCAGTAAAAGCAGTTTAGCCAAGAGAAGCAAACACTGAGGTTCGAAGGCATGCCTCTCCG